TCTAGGTTCCTAGGAGCTCTATAGGGTAATGTCCCATGTTCCAAGGTACTTTGAAGGGTTCAAGTATACCCGGGGAAGCGAGCCAGGAAAAGGCCAAAGTGCCTTCTGCTTGTGTTAGGAACGCGGGTTCGCAACAAGAACAGGTGGAATATGCAAAGTTTGGTGGTTTCATGACTTTCCAAACTGAGGGAGTCACGGAGATTAGAGAAACAGGTCACCCGGTCCATCCATCGTGGGATACCGGTCCAAGACCACAGCAGAGGTGTGAGTCCGGCGCCCGAATCGCTGCCAGATCGAGACACTAGTCACTATAGGCTATTGGGTGAATCCTGGGTGAATCCTGAAGCAAACACCCCCACCTCCGTTGTATGACTGAAACGGCACCACCGGACTGAAAAACCCCTTTTGTATCAGTTGCGGTGGCGCCTTGAACCGAATCGTGCGTGTGTGGCCGGTGTGGCGGAACACGGAGCTCGAAGGTTCACTGCGTTCGCGGCACGGCACCGGCGGAGGCGGCGGCAAAGGAGGGACCATGATGTCCCGCATCGAGAACTATCTCGTCAAGGAGCTGAGCAAAGGCCCGGCTCAGCGGTTCGGGGGCAAAGAAGAAATGGTCATCTGTGGCTCGAAGATGGAGTCAGTTCACTGGAGCCCTTAGTTGGGCAATTCGGGGAGCCATAGAGATACTGACCAGCTCCTTCATCAGCCCAGAGGTTGATGATGCATTGGCATAGTTTGTCCTCTCCAAACGTGCGCCACTTTTCTCCTCCCAAGAGGTGATCAGGAGTGTCACGTTCTCAGAGGTGGCAGAGAAAGAAACGTCGACGTTTGTCCTGGTCAGGCCTAAAAGGACTGGAAGCTTTGCAGAACATGGTGCTTTCTATATTTCTTGTAAAGGGCAGCGACAGTTCGAGCAGTGCACAGGTGATCATCGAACCTTGCTTCAGATCACCAAAAGCTACTGTCACCTTGGCCGCAAAAAGCCTTTTCTGCCACAAAGAGGAAAGGTCCATCTACCACTGGTGGTGGCTCAAGCGCCTCAAGCTGACCGCTTCCAATCCCAGACCATCCGGACTGGATGAGCTACTTGCATGACAAGGGTCATTCATGGGGTAAATGCATATAACTTTTCCAGTCCCATGGATGGTCTGGGCATGGAAGCTTTGGTGTGCAAGTCAATGCTCTGGACTCAACGGGGCGGAAGATGATTGCAGAACGGGAGAGCTCACTGATCCGCGAACCCTATCGTGTCATATATATATATATATATACATTACCATAGGTTCCAGGTAGCTCCTGGTCCTGAGGATGCTACTTTTTGAGAATGGTCAATGTTGTTTTGGGGCTAAAGGACATCCTCAGGTCCTGGACCTTTCTGGCATTGGATAGACATTGATGTTGCAGCTTGAACACCTCACCCGGTGCCCATGCGGAAAAAGCCTCCGCCTACGTAGAAGGTGGTAAGTGGAAGTTGTCATTACAAACATCCCAAAGACGGGAAGGTATGCGTACCCCTGAACATATTCATTACGTTCATTGAGTGTTTGGCTTTGAAGTTGAAAGTTGCAAAGCAGCTTTCTGTTGTGGCTTCTCTATGTGTGGGTTTGATGCATGACATGTCATGACACATAAACCGAGTCGAGATGATACGAATTCATGCGAAAACACATATTTTGTGGTGTTCGCCTCTGAGTCTGATCTCGCCCAGGCGAACATATGCAGAGCGGTCCATCCTTAATTTGCCCCATTTTCTTGCACTTTCGCAGCTCGGCCTTGTTCGTGGCCTCGGCCGCCTCGGGTTAGAAGGAGGCTGTTTTATTTTGTCCATTTGTCCATTCGGATTTCAATTAGGGGGTCCTCCCCACCCTATGACACACCCATAAGGGTCAGGATAACAAGTTTCAGGTTGAGATCCCAGGTTGTTTCAAGCAACATCTCCTGGGCAAGTCTACTGTTCGCAGAATTGTATAGTGTTGTAGTACCGGTTGGGATCTACCTTCGGCAGGGGTTTGGGTTCCCAAGATTCTTTTTTGTTGGGGGGTTGATGAATGGCTACTTGTTGGAAGTGTTGGATGAAAATCAGGTTGCAGCCACAAGCCCTTGCTTGCACCATGGACAACCCGTGGGACATGCTTTCCCAGCGTGGGGCCCGGTTTTCGACCTAAGGAGATAAGGCATCAAAGCGTGTCTTCTTCGCCATGCGGAGACTCGGCACATGAGACGATGTGTCATGTCATTTGTGTACTGAACTACGGAGACTCTCTACAATCAATTGGAAGAAGAAAAAAGTCCCGCGTGTTTGGAGACTCACAAGACCTGAATACCTTTCGTCAGGCGGTAGACCAGTGACAGGCCCCCCCTGAGTGGACTGTTTCGAGAGGTTGGTTCACCTCGAAGAACACCCTGTGGCCTTGGCTTCTACCACACCCCCACTTGGCTTCCGGGTTCCAACCCTCCGGTGTTCCACTGCTTTTGTAGCAGGCAGCAGCGGGTCCGGTTCCCCCGCGCGCGCGGAGAAGTGAGACTGGAGCCAGTGAACAGAACCCTGTCCAATGGCCTTTTTGGCCCTACTGGATCCTTTAGGGTTTGGACACTTGGAGCCATGCATACCTTGGAGCATCCCAGGACGGGGACGAAGCCCTGGGAGGTTGCGGGGACTTGCGCATTTCTGTTTGGGTTTGATGTCTTAAGCTTCTTCTTCAAAAAAATGGGCGGTGGATGTTCTCTTTGAAAGATGATCGCGGAATATCAAGGATGCCAGGATTAAAGAATACTAAGTTCAAGCTCATGGGACTTCTGGTCATTTCTTGGGTGGAGGGCTGCCTCCCATTTTCCAGGTGCCTCATGAATTTAGGAGATGCTTCGCCGCCGAAAAGAGATGAAAAGAGAGCCTCCAGAGATCATTCGAATACCTCGAAAGTGAGGCGCTGTTGTTGAGTTGATAGTGAGTTGCTGTTCTAACTGCGCTTGTTGGCTGGGGTGTTAGCTGCGCTTGTCGGCTGTGCTAGCTCGCTGGGTGGTTGCTTCGGTGCAAGGGGCCTTTGGGTTTGGGATGCTCACCACTCTCTCCAGTGGACTCTGGCTCTTAGGAATTGCGTGGGCGAAGGCCCCTTCAAGGCGCGAATGAGAGTTTTTTTTTAATGTTTTTTCCATTTCTTATCCATTCTTATCCCAAAGTTTTGGTGACGAGAGTTGTTGTTTAAAATGTATATGTATTATATAATATATACCTGGAGTCTCCAAAGTGCCTTAGAAAATGTGACATGACCCCATAACAAAAAGGTACAAGACTACCCAATTTTCCGAGGTACTTTGAGACTCCAGGTATTATATATATACATATTGTACTGAGTCCAGGAGTTCCGAAGTTGAAGGGTGGGAGTAGGGCCGGGATGTCAAGACAACACATCCACTCACTTAAGGAATATTGTCAAGACATTCCTGAGGCTCCATGTTCAGTGTCCGTCACTGGGAGTCTCAAATGAAATACCCCCAGAATATGGAGACAAGTACCAGGTTTTTATATGGCCATGTCCCATTTTGTTCGCTACTTGAAGCCAGGTCCAGCTAGTGGCAGCTAGTGACCATTGCTAGTCTAGACAGTGGACCCCTTGTTGGAGTCCTGGCATGAAAGAAACGCCCAATGGAGGCGACCTGAATACCGCCGAATACTGAATTCGTTTCTTGGTGAACCTTGGTGGAACGTAGGTGCAAGAAACACCTCCATGCGTCATGTTTGATATTGTATTATATATACCAGCACCACCCAAAAGGTGGATATAGGATGGAAATTACATGGTCAGGGGTCTAGGTCTAGGGGATATAATGAGCAGGTTCAGGTTGGTCCGCCCGCAATGACAGGCCTTGTACGACCTTAAGGGTTGTGCAGATGACAAAAGCTTGGAGAAGGATGGGAAACCCATCCGTGCAGTGCACAAGCGGATTTGGATGCCCGGCTGAAAGCCCACCAGCGCGGAGTTCAGCGGGCACTCGATTGGGATCCGCTCAGTATGGGCCTTCCAGTTTCAGCGCAGACAGGTGCAACGGTTGGATTGTCCCATTCGACTTGGATTGACATTGAAAGAACAAACATTCAAGACCTACTTGAGGAGTGGTTAGCCTTTGTTTGTTTTTGTTGAAATCGTTTTGCCTCATGGAAGGGACACAGGTGGGCATGATGGCTTGTGGGGGCCGCATCTATTGTCCCTTTCAGTCTGTCTTTGCAAGTTTTGACACTTCCCTGTGGCAATTCTGCATGTCTCAACTGAACTGGCCTTGGTTCAGGAATGTTCCTATGTGGAGCTCCTGTTGTTGGTCGCAAGCACGGCGTACCTACCATGCGGGCAAGGTGGAAGCGCGAAAGGCACGTAAACAGATCCGGGGGGAAACGAACTATACTGCGCGCAACACACTTCTCTCACACTTACCTGGTTCGTCAAAGTGACCTTTTGATATCCTAATTTGAGGTCACTTAAGCCTCCCAAGGGTCACTTAAACCCTTACAAGGTCACTTTGAAGAGGCTGGTACGAGGCACTTGTGGTTGTGAGATTAAGCCGTTCATGAGTGGCGCAGAGAAAACGTAGTCTTTGGCTGACCATGGCCCTCCAGGGCGCTGATCTAGCTCTCACTGGTTCCGTTCTGCACTAAGAGAATGACCCTCCAGTCACCTCTTCACAATCGAGGATGACGTCGACCAATCACTCTCCAAGCACGAGCTCATTCGAAGCTATACCCTAAGACTCCAACCATCTCCAACCACATCCTGAGAAGGTGGTTAGTGGCTGGACCCCCCAAACCCACCCTAGCCACCTTCTCAGGAGCTAGGCCAGGAGCCCAAACGGGATACAGTGTTTCTTCCGACCCAAAGACGAGCCGCACACTGTGCTGTGCGTGTCCCTCCCGTGGCTTCTCGCTGCGGTGTCTCACGGCGCCACCCCTGCGCGGCTTGGAGGTGCAGATTCCCATCTTGTCGTCCCAGAAGGACACCTTCTTAGAGGCGATGCGCCGTGATGTCTCCTGGTTAGCGGGGCAACGGCTCATGGACTATAGCTCCTTGGGTCCAAAGGAGGGAAAGATGGGAGAGAGTTTGGAGGAGTTTGGGGAAGCTTTTCGGCTTTGAAGGAAGAAGATGGGAAGAAGATGGGCAGAGGGAAGGCTGATGGCCTTCAGGTGCGCTTGAATTGATTAATAGTGAAGACTCTCTGGACATGACAAGGAAGATGGTGGGAGTGGGAAGCAGAACTGTTGTGGATTTTGAGGGTTTGGTTCTTAGTGCTCGGCCTGGCTTTTTGGTTGTCATCCTTTGAGTGGATGTATGTAACACCTTCGAAATGCATGGTCATGGCAATTCCGGTGATTGACAGCTTGAAAGTCCTATCTGTAGCGACCGGCTAGGCGCAAAGAAATACATCCACCTGGCGCAGCTGTGCTTATCCAGGGTGGCCTTGCCGCTTTCAGGTCTATTGGTGGCGATCAAAGACCACAAGGAGACGCCCACAAAGGGCCTTCCTGCAGGTCAGCCCTATGTCCGGCAAACGCCTCTTGGTTTGCGGACAAGAAGCGCAGGAACGTGTTGCATTACCCGTGGAACTGTCAAATATCTACAGAATGATCATGGACTGTGGGTGGAGCAGTGTTTGGTGTTGATATGTTGTTTAAGTGGAATGTAGAGTGGGGCAACCCAACTTGGCCATTTGACAATTTCATGATTGTTGTTGTTTGTGCTCAACATTTAATCGTGCAGGTTGGGCTTTGTCGTTTCTGTGCGTCTTGAGGACATGGGTTTCCTCCCCAAATCTGGCACCGTGGACCAGCAATGATGAACAGAATGAAGCGGGGTATATGTCACATGTTAGGGAGGCACCACTGCTGCGTGTTCAAGTGGGTGTGTATTGGGGTAGCGAGACCCTCCAACCAATGGGTTTAATTTTGTCTTGGTTTTACCAGTCTCCTTTGAATACACACCCATGTACCATTCCATTTCCATACTATTCCCCTTTCCCATGCAGAGGAATCGCTGTTTGTTTTTGAGTGTGAGCCATCATCAAATATTTGTATACATACCGACATTGACCCTGAAACCACAGCAAGGCTCATCATTGTATCCAATCAACTCCACTGAGTGCCACAGCAGGGATTGTTGCACTCAGAAGTACCCATACTGCAGCTAGGGCCACTAGGTTTTGAACAGCATCACATGCAATTGGCCAACTTTGCTGGTCTTCGCCGGGCAATTGCAAGGCACTGCACCCTAGAGATCCTGCCCAGACCCATGAACTCTCAGAAAGCACTGACATTCAATGAGACATGCCATGAAATGCATCCGAAGAAGATGATGCAAAAGGCACCACACACCTGACTTTGAACTTTTTCCTTTTTTTTTGCTTGGTCTTCCCAGACACTCCATGTGCCCACATGGAGCCCCTGAAATCAACCGCCCCAACTGACCAGTCATCCTATGGCTGTCGCCCCAAACATGCCAAGGCGCTGTCAATGACACTTCCAAAGACGCAGGTCCTTCCTTCACCAGGTCCTTCCTGTTCACCACCACCTCCCACCCTCCGCCACCCCTGAGACAGGTCGGAGGGTCCCATCGCAGTGCAGATGTCCATCATCGACTTCCTGCGCCTTGGTTCCGCGCCAGTCGTACGGGGCGGAAGCACCGGCTGGGTCAAGGCGGGCCACGGAGCGGACGTGGTCCGACGACCGCGGGGTTCAGAGGCTGAATGTGCTCGAACGCCGCCGCGTTCTGGAACGAGCACAGGTTGCTTTTAAAGGGTTTTACATGGTAAGTCCAGTTGGTGCGCGACATGTCGTGAATTTGAACTATATAGGTTCCCTCCACCGACCACTGAATTGAGGTGCTGATTTGTAAATACGTGGGCATGGAGGAGGCTTCCAAGATGTAGCATCTTTCATATCGCTTTCATTATCCAGCAATTAGTAGCTGTAGGGCCTGGTGTAAGTGCTCCACCAGTACGCATCCCACAGAATTAGCGAAGTCGTCGATTCCAATACACAGTACCTGCAGTCGACCCGTTTGGAAAATGGGTACATGGACTGTACTTGTTTTTGACACAGTCATGTCCGTAGGGCTCCAACTACCCCCTGAGAAGATGGTTAGGGTAGTGGTTAGGGTGGGGTTGGGAGGTCTAACCACCTTCTGAGGATATGTTTGGATCCCGAATCGAGTGAAGTCAGGTCCAGGTGCACAGCTGCTCACCCGAAGTGCCAAAAACCGATGTGCCAAAACAAACGTCTCAGATGTGAACCTCTTCCCAGGCAACGATGGACGATGGGGAAGCGTTCCTTGGCAGAGTCGTGCTTCAGTGAGTTCTTACCATCACCGTGGGATGGCCGCATCACAGCACCTGCCAGAATCACTTGAAGAATCCATGCATGGAAGATGTGAATAGCCCCCTGAGTTGCCATTGGCATCGAGATGTAAAATATTGATATATAACTATATAATATTAATATATTATTGATAAATATTGTAAAGAATTGTACAACCATTCAGATTATTAGTTAGTTATTGTTTTCATCAGCAGTCAATATTGCCGTCGACATCCATTGACCCTTAGCACCACATATCAAGACATCATATTTTATACACATAGGCAATTATTCCAGTTCTTGGGGAACGGGGCAGAACCTGGCACCCTGGGGCGCCACAGGCGTTGCTCGCGCCATCAAAGTCTTTGAAAGGAGCCTTGGCAGGGCCCGTCGGAAGGTGGGTCGACTCTTCTTCAAGGATATATCCCGCACTTGCATCAACTTGGTATAACCTGGTCATTGACCTGTATATATATATATATATATGTGTGTGTGTCTTTGTTTAACTTCCATCAAGTTGCAACAATGAGTTTGATCAAGCTTCAATATATGTTTTGCACGACTTCACCATGTGCCAGTCTACTTTCTTCAATGAGTACAATAGTTGAACAGTAAATCATGATGTGGATTTCTATGTGCAGCCACTGTTTCTAGCAAGTGAGTTACAGAAAGGCCATTTGTGTGTCCCTTGTGATTGCTGGGACCCCTTGTTTCCAGTACTCCTCGCGGATCGGGTGATGGTTCTTTTCCGCATGAAAGTTCACTCCTGCCCAGAAGCTCCGTTCACAGCCCGACTGGTCCCTCAAAACCTAGGGACTTGAGACCCTATATTGAGGGTACGACCCCTCCATGTGAGGGTCCATGAGCGTTTGGGCGGAGAATATGCCCGTTTGCGCTCCTGTCCCATCTCCTCAGGTTCGGTGGGCCCGGGCGCGACGCCCCGACCAGCACGCCCCCACCCCCTGACCCAACAAACTGAAGTAGAGGCATGCCAGGAGCCCTGGGGCCCGAAGGGATTTCCCCTTTTTTGGCCAATCCAAGGATGACATCTGCAGGATCTATCTTCGCGAATCGACATCCATTCATCCGAATTCCCCCCTCATACCCTGGCCAAAACGGATGGCCGGGCCTCACGACGCCCGTGGCGGCGGGAAGATCGGAACATTCACCGTGGCGTGCAACGAAGCTTCACGTGCGCATCAACCGGGTTTTGGAGGGTTTTGGTGGATGTCCGATTCTTCCTGGGGGGGTCTAATCTCGGTCTTCCTCTTTGAACCATGGCCCATCTGTGTGGTTCTTTTTGGCTTCGTTTTCAGATAGAACTTGATTCGCTTCGTTTTCAGATAGCACTCGGTGCGCAGAGCGACCGCCATGGGTGACACCGTGATGAGAACTGCCAGGTGGATCGGAGCCCTGATGGCGGTGAATAGAACACCCCCTCTGCCAAGAGAGGTTGAGAATGGTTGAGAGACCTTAATACTGTAGGACCATGTAGTGGTACATATGATTACATATATATGGGATGGGCTAGGATAGACTGGTTCAACCTCGGATTGCACGTGCAGGGTTTGAGAATAGTCTACAGCAGCGTTCCCTCCCAGAAAATTGCCCCTTGGGAAACACTGACTGAGGCCTGACCCAGCTTTTGCGCCAGCTTCCAGTGCTTGGCGTGTTCACCGGTACTTCGCCAAGACATGTTCATAATATGCCTACTGTTCATCGAAAATGTCCGACCCCTCGCATAAAACAAAAACTTGAAACAGAATCACCATCAATGCCCCTTAAATTCTCGCACAACTCGGCTGGTGTTGGTCGTTCTGAGCTGGTGTGCTTTGCTTCTGAAAATCCTTGGTGGCTCCGCTTCCAAGGAACAAAGCGACCATTCCGCCGCGCGCCTACGCGGCACGCTTCGCAGTGCATTTCACGCAACACGTGGTCACCGCGCAGGAGGGCGCGCGGCGCGCGGAGGGCGCGCGGAGGAGGCGGGGAGGCGGGGCATCCAGGCCTCCCGGTCAAGCTCCACCTATGTGGGCCTGACTTCAAGTGCCTTAGAAGTACCTTGGAAATCCATTCAACCATGAAAATGAAATGCGAACGACCTGGTGTTGTAGAAAAGTTGACCCTCCTAGACCCTCAGATCAAGGGGTCGAACCCTCATATGTAGGGGTCTCAAATCCCTAGGTTTTGAGGGACCAGTCGGGCTGTTTGGAGTGTTTGGGCACCCCATACATTTGGAGTTTAGTCTTGGAGACATTGGAGACACCCGATCGGCCCTGGTCGGGGAGGTCTCATGATTTTACCCTGGGGCTCCTGGCTTAGCTCTGTTTCGGTTCGGTGGGCCAAGGGTGGGGGCTGTCCAAACGGGCAAATACACACACATACACTCTGGTTGCCTCAATAGACTCGTTTGCATGTAGAGAGTCCCATTGCACATATTGCACACACCCGATACCCGGCATGTTTCAATAGCTCAAGTCTGTTTGTGCTAGGCAAATAGGTCCTTTGGATCAAAGAAGTCGAAGAGCAGCAACAACAAACGCAAGACCTACCAGAACACCTCTTTGATCCTCTTTATTATTTGCCAGTTCCCTTACTGGTAGGTCCAATGAATGCACGGCGTGTCCACGGGACTCTCCGGGTCCGACCTCCATGGTGCTCCATCCACAGGACTGGGAGGTGAATGTTCAGGGCTTGATGTCGTTGCAGCCCAAGGCGGGGCCGGACCACCCCGAACCCGCATCGCGCGGGGCGCCCGTGGACCAGCGAGCGGCGTTGAGTGCTGGGGGAAGCGGGGGCAGTCAGTCAGATCTTCCAGGAATTGACTTGGCCAGGAGGTTCCGGTTTTGACTCGAGGTGACGGTTCCAGGAATCGACTTAGCACGCTCTTACGGTAAGAAGGCTATCGCATTGCTCTCAGAGCAGACCGGGTGGATTGTGAGGAGAAAGGACCTGAGGAATCTCCAGACTTCGAATGACGCAAGCATCGCAAGCGTTGTCCTGCTTAACTGCATTGCACTGTGAAGGCTCGGATGTTCTTCACAACTGCGACAGTTCATAACTGGCAGATTCTGCATATATTGGTTCATTCTCAATAGATTAATGGTTTTCACATGTTTTCACGATGATCCTTGTCAAGTTGCACGAGTCAAGTCCTTGACCCACCGAACTCGCCGCCTGCACAGGCCGAGGATCCTCTACCCAGTTTTACCTTGGACAAGTCGCCTGAGGAACACCGGTTCCGCGCGGAAAGTTCCGCGCAGTGGACCCTATGCTTTCACCCAACCCACTGCTTTCATCCATGAAGACTTATTTTACTATGAGGTGGTTTCAAAGGGGTCATTGTAGGTCAATCTTCCATACATAGAATGCTTGGGAATGTGTTGGGGACGTGTCAGGAGGCCCGTTGCGGGTGGTTCTTGCATGTTGAACCCGACTCAGACATATCCGTCTTGCGGAGGTCCCATGTCTTGTTTCATCACCACCTTCAGGGAAGTCCTAGAAGTGAGATAGACAACAAGGAACTTGAGATTTAATGGGTATATAATGGTCAATGAGCTTCAGTTGAATGATGGAGATATTCGGATATATACAGATCTGTTGTATATATATATATATATTACAATATCCTTTATGATGGATGATATACATAATGGACATGTCTACAGTCTACACTTCCAGACTAGAAGACCACATACCAGAGAGGCTTCTATGACTCCTGCGCCTTGGGATGACAAGTAGCTATACAAACGACTTGTCTCGCTTGTGAACTTCTAGATGTCTGATTGATCCTATTTTGCTTACAGTACTATTTATGAGGCTTACGCCTGACAGCCGGGCGCCGGCCTATTTGGGTTTGGGTATGTGCAGGGCTGGGTCCTCTCTCTCTCTCTCTCTCTGTCTCTCTCCCTCTCTCTCTCTCTCTTTGAGACTTGGTGGGGCCTATATTTAGCAAAGTCAAGCTATCTGGTGCGCATCTTGGCCCTAGGTTGGGCCAAGTTGAGCCCATGTGGTCTATGTTGGGCACATCTTGGGCCATGTTGGGCCTAGGTCGGCCTACGTTAGGCCTATGTTGGCCTAGGTTGGGCCTATGTTGGCGTATGTTGGCCCCATGTTGGCCTATGTTGGCCCTATGTTAAGCCATCTTGGAGGCTATGTTGGGCATATGTTGGGGATATGTTGGCTATCTTGGGCCTATGTTGGGAATATGTTAAGCAATATATGTGCCCAACACTAACGAAATGTCGATTAAGCCTGCCCGCGTGGCACGCATAACCGACACCACCGGCGCCCTGTTAGGCCAGAGTCGTGTCCGCCGAAGGCCACGAAACACTGTAAAAAACGATGTTTTTGAACATTTTTTGAACAGCCTGCGCCAGATACATATGAATCGGTCGACACGGGGTTGACACGGGGTCGACACGGGGTCGACACGGGGTCTCCCCGCGGTCCAACAAAAGGGTCGGCGGCAGGGGCGGCGAGCGTATATAACCTTCGGTTACCAACCGAAGGCCTCCGGCAAGGACACGGGCCCGTGGCCGGCGCCCGGATTTAAGGGCTGCCGCCCAGTGCCGCCGACCCCAGGAAGGGAGACAAAAGAGGTGTGGGGCGGACAGAAGGCATGGTGACGCGTGGGTGGTAGCGCAGAACACATGGGGACACCGCGGCGTGCTGCACCGGCTATGTGGAATCCCCAATGTGAGGAGGGGCAGGAGGGGGTGCTGCATCGGCTACGTGGAGAGGAGGGGGCAGGGAGGGGGTAAGCGTTAGAGATATTAAAGGGGGTGGGGCAGACAGAGGGCATGGTGACTCCACGGTCTGCTGCATCGGCTACGTGGAACCCCCATGTGGATGTTAAGGCAGTGTAGACGGGGTGGAGGTAGAGGGCGCAGGCAAGAGGGATGAAGTGGGAGACACAGGAACGGAGGGACGTTTACTTGGGGTGGCAGTGGGACATGGTGCCAGTATAGGGTGCAGGCAAGAGAT